AGGCTCCGTAGGTTATTACCATGTAAATCCTAATCCTAACCCTAAGCTAATTCCCTTTTCCCCCATCGAATTTAATTAATCTATTTATGTGTCTCGCCCATAGACACACTGGAGATAGACACCAGCACCCAAATCTGTGCAATCTGAAAAGCGTTTCATTAGTTCTTTATGTAGGCTATTGTAAAAATTAATAAATTAATAAAATGATTCACATGTCGCTTATATTACAGTAAACAAACTAAAATAAATAAATCTCATATCTTGTCAACTCAATAGTACAATCCTCTCCCCATAAATATTAAATTATTTTTTAATTAATGCCCATCGTTATTTAATGAGATCCTCATCAAATGGACATGTTATGTTTTTTTTTTAAATCTAATGTGTCTAGTGACATTAGACTAATAAACCTCACTAAATGTTTATTTACCAAACTAAATATTTAATTTGCAAACTAGATATTCAGTTTGTAGACCAATATTTATTTAAAGAACTAAATGTTTTACTTGCAAACTAAATATTAAGTTTGGATCTAAATACTCACTTAACTAAATATTTTATTTTCAAACTAAATATTTAGCTCTAAACTAAATATTTATTTAACAAACTGAATATTTAATTTGCAAACTTAACATTTATTTAACAAAGTAAGATATTTTTTTTTCTAATGAATGAATGACATTGAAAAAATGACTTGGAAAAATATAAACCCCTTATTTTTCTCTTAAAACATGCTAAATAACCATAAACATTGATCCTAATCTTTGACTGCTTAACTTTACAAACGGTGCCCCATAGTTTAGAGGATGTCTAGAGTTTAGAGAGTGTATGAAGTTTAGAGAGTGTCTGGAGATAGTGGAGAGGATAGTTATGGAGCCAGCTAGAAAGAGGAGGATGTCACCTATGTGAAATCTAACCAAGTGTGATGGCGGCCAGAAAATCAGGAAATATGACTGCAGATGGCACTTTGAAGTCCAGCGCTACCTTTCAGAGGCCAACATAAGCCGCGTGGAAAATCCCAGTGTTGGGATATTAAGTTTAATGGTTTGATGTTCTATTCAATTCCCAGCCAGATGGGAATTTATGTTTCTAATGCTTTAAGATATTTATTTTCCCTCCCCGGTAGGGATGGTAAAATATCTTATTTAATCAGACATTATTTCGGCTGATATACTGTTTATGAACACATGACCTATTAACTGTATGTTAGAACATTAAATGAAAGAGGGATTCGAGCACTAATCATTGTCAAACAGTTAATTCTGCACATACTGTACATGGAATAAATACACCACAACTTCTGTTCAAAATATAAGAGTTTATTAATAAAAATCATTCAGCTTTAAGTCAAACATATTTCAGTTTAACACTCTCAACTAAGACTAGTGAAACTCAACTAAACTAAACTACTATGAACAAGGAGGAATGGAAAACATGGTTGAAAACCATATTACAGTTTAAGATGGAAATTGTGTTTAAAACCAAAGATTATTTGGAAGAATTTGGAATATGATCAAATTAGCTTTTCACTAATTTAAAGAAATTGGAATTTTTTCAAACCAATTCACAATGCAAATCCATGAGGTGAACAAAACATTATATGGCCAAATAATGTTTATTAAATGATCTGGTTAATAAAAAAAAAAAAAAGAACCTTTATGAAATGATCGACATCATCAAAAGACATATTGTTTGTTCTGTCCCTAATTATGCCAGACCTGCAAACCTTTTTTGTCCATGTCCACTCGGGAGGTTGAGTTTCCATCCAGCTGGAGTTTAGCAAGCAGGCTAACAGCGAGGCAAGTCCTCTCTGTCTCAGGCTCACAGCAGGGGTCCTCTATGACTTAGTGGCTCATTAAGGCAGGCTTCCTTGTCCAGTCTGGCTCCATAAGTTCTGAAACTCAAGACAAATGTGTTGCAAAAGGTCTGTTTTGCAGCAGTTTGGTTCTGAAAGGTTTTGACTTATCTTTGATGATTCTGGAGATCTGGGTCTTTTTCTTGCTCCATTCTTGCAGGAGATCCTACCGAAGCAGACCCCAGCTTCATGGGCNCCTAGAGGTTCCCATGTGGATTTTCCCCTGTTGTTCCCTGCGGTGAGCTGGAAGCTCAGCCTGAAAAAATCCTTCGTGTTTTCCCCTGTTGTTCTCTGCAGTGAGCTGGAAGCTAAAACCCAGGACTGCCAGGCTAAGCCTAAGCTAGATGCTTAGCCTCACATGAACTCAGCTACCAGCCATCTTCCGTTCCCTGCACAGACCCCAGTGAACCAAGTACCCTGCCTGAACTGTTCCAGTTAATTATCCATGTGCTTGTGTCATTTAATAAACTCTTTGGACTTGTACCAGTGTCTCTGTGTGTTTTCTGCATCTTGGGCTTTACTCTCAGAAACCCAATCATGACAGAACCTTTATGAAATTATCAACATCATCAAAAGACATATTGTATGTTCTGTCCCTAATTATGCCAGACCTGCAAACCATTTTTGTCCATGTCCATTCGGGAGGTTGAGTTTCCATCCAGCTGTAGTTTAGCAAGCAGGCTAACAGCGAGGCAGGTCCTCTCTGTCTCAGGCTCACAGCAGGGGTCCTCTATGACTCAGTGGCTCATTAAGGCAGGCTTCCTCGTCCAGTCTGGCTCCATAAGTTCTGAAACTCAAGACAAATGCGTTGCAAAAGGTCTGTTTTGCAGCAGTTTGGTTCTGAAAGGTTTTGACTTATCTTTGATGATTCTGGAGATCTGGGTCTTTTTCTTGCTCCATTCTTGCAGGAGATCCTACCGAAGCAGACCCCAGCTTCATGGGCAAGGAAGACGAGGCAAAGAGAAAGAATCTGGTTTGTGCTCTGTGGTTTATTCTGTTCTCACGCAGAGGGGGCTCGGAAGTCACACCTCTGAAAAAGGGGGGTTGGAGAGATCTTATAGCTGGTTATTCCCCAAACCTTTATTTCCTTCTCTGGTCATCATGTCAAGACGAAATATGGACACTGGTTCCCAATGTCCAAAAACCATGATCATAGCATATGGCACAACACCAGCATCTTTAGTGCCTTGTGAACAAGTGTTTTCAAAGGCCGGTGAGGTTTTGTCAAAAAAAAAAAAAAAAGGAATCGATTGAAGCCAAAAACTGTTGATAAAATTATTATTTCTGAATAAAAATAACACCTTTCATTTTACTCATCATTGCCCAAGTTGCACAAGCACTTTCACTGTCTGTTTGACAGTGATTGGAGTAACGGCATTTAAAGTAACAACTTTACTAATGGCATTACCTTTTTTAGTAATGAGTAATCTAACTAATTACTTTGACTGTAACTATAATGCAGTTACCATTGCCAACACCCCGTTACTGCACATTACTCAGGTCACACAATTAACATTTTTTTCATGAGAGGACTCGTGCGTGCCTTGTCATGAGAGACGGGAGGATGAGAATGGCTGATGTATAGTGAGATTACGTCTGTCGTTTGGGTAGGTGGGTGTTTCTGCTGGCGGGTGTTAACGTACAGCACACACAGAGAGTTGGAGGGTGAGGAGGACTCCAGCAGCAAAACAGCGTTTTCCAGATGGAAATACCGGTGTTTCATCGAGCTGCGTTTCCCCATCAGATACGGTTTCCCCGGCATCTCTGCACAGCGCAGGCGGCACGATTCACCGCGCAAGTAACGGCAAACATGCATGCTCGCTAAAGGCACGTAACAGCTGCCCTGTCCTCGTGATAGGTTCAAAAATGTAGGTTCGTAAAAAAAGAACTGAGTCCACACAGAAAAGTGTTTTTTTTAGCAGCTTCTGCAGAGGGAGACAGCTACACCCAACTCTCTAACGGACTTCCTCTGCAGAGCCCTTTTTATTAGCAATTCATAACACATGAAGTGTGTTCCAAAACAGAGTGTTCTTCTGACAAGGCAATTGATGAAGTCACAGGACAGAATGCTCCTCTGATTGAATCACAGAACAGTGTGCTCTTCTGATAACTGTGATTTAGCCTTTGCACAAACATCATTAATTTTCCACCACCGTTGCATGACAGTTTGCAGTAAACAAGTGAAGCATCTCATTTCCTCAATGTTTTATATGCACACATATTAACTGTATAATCATCATTGAATAAACCTTACAGCTCGCACCACAGGGGAACTACAAAGAGTGTGAGCGATCAAATGTTAGCCTATATGGAGAAAGGGAAAAATCTGGATAGATGGATAGATAGATGGATTTTGCAGTATCCATAACAACCAAAATACACAGGATTTCAGAATTAGACATCCCCAGTTATTAATTTCATACACTCACCAGATCTAAAAAACTTCACACCCATGAGTAGAGGTAATGCAGCCTGATGATATTAATACCAATTCAACTGGCTTTTGAAAAACACGGCAAGAAGGTGGGGGCCGGGTGGTGAGGGTTACGGGGGCGAAAACGCAAAAGTAATGCAATAGTTACTTTTACTAGTAACTAGTTACTTTTATTGTGGAGTAACTCAGTTAGTAACTCAGTTACTTTTTGGGAGAAGTATCTAGTAACTAATTACTTTTTCAAAGTAACGTGCCCAACACTGCTGTTTGAGCTTATGTCACTAAAATGACAGTGTACATTTAAAGATCGTTCTTTTCTAAGAAATTTCACACACCCAAAACCTTACAAGGGACTTTTTTATACACACTAATCATGAACAATTTTAAAGGAACTTAACTAGGAAAAAAAACACAAATAATTGCAAGCATCACATATTATATTACTAACTGAATTTATGAACTCCACCAGTAGGTGGTGACATGTGCAGATGAGGCCTCATGAATTATGGAGATCGTAGAAGCAAATGGTTGAAATGCCTCATGAGGCTTCCTCACCATTACTAGTTGTGACCAACGAAGCAAAAAGCAGTGATCATCTGTCCGAACAGTCAGGTAACTGAGTTTGCAAAAAAGTTGACTATAATGTCCCTGCTCTATATAATGATTGTACTCTTAAAGTGTTACTTTAACACTGCAACATTTACTCTGAATATATTTACAGTAAAGGATCAGATAAAAACATTTTCTCCTGATTTCTTTTCTTTTGCAAATCTGTATCTAAATTTGGTTGAAAGGGGGTTCAAACATCAGTTTTTTAAATAGTAACACTATTTCCAATTTTTTCCGGATCCAGGTATTCGTATCGGACAACCAGCTTCTCGTTTCTTTTCTTGATTTCATCACTCAGCTGCATCAGCTCATTTTGGAACGCCTGTATCAGCCTGCGGGGCTCCTCCTCAGTGAAATGCTCCTCTGGGTAATTGCCTAAAGGGACCTGAGGAAATAAAAAAACATGCTATAATATTTT